AGAGAACGAGCATGACCTGAGGGAGGGGCAGAGGCAGAGGGAGAAGCAGACTCCCTGCTGAGTGGGGAGCTGATGTGGGGCTCCATCCCAGGACTCCGGAATCATGACCTGAGCGGAAGGCAGATGCTTAACCGACTGAATCATCCAGGTGCCCCCATTGCAACACCCTTCTTAAAAAAACTTCTTAGTGCTCCATTTACTATCTGAAATGAAATTCCTATAGGTACCATAACCCACCTGTGTGGGCTGATTATTTTGTAACTCTAATACACTTAAATTTTTATTTTTGTTCCATGGCCTTTAGAGAGCATCCCTTGACTCTACCATGTGATATGATATTAGTGCTCCTACCCTCTCACCTGTCCTCTCCCTATTTCCCATACTCCCCATATTTCCCTGCTGCAACTTTATGTTGTCAAGATTGACAATATTTACTTTCTGTTTTGTAATCATATGTAAGTCATTCACGTTTTATCTGTAAGTTGAGTCTAAAAGTTGAAAACTAATGAATAGCATTTATAGGATAAGATTATATAAGTGTTCACAGCAGAGCCAAGCAGTATATTGGGATCCTAGAACTTTCTCTACACATGCAATATCACAACCTCTGTGCCACTTGAAAGGAGAATGTTTCTAGTATTCTAGTATTCTATTTTCTTTTCCTGCATCGAATTCTCTAGAATCATACCGCATTTAGTGGGTAAACTGACATTTAATTACATATTGAGAAAGGTCAGAAGTAGTGATACAGTTACATAGTAGACACTCAATAAATGAATGACCTGCATGACACTATTAGGGAGAAAAAGGTGAGAGGAAAGTGATGGAAAGCACAAGAAAGAGAAGAATTTCAAAATAATAAGGGTGCATTCCAAATGGCCAACTTTCTGAGAATTGAACTGTTTTTGAATAACTTATGTCCCTCAATTCAGATCCAAAGATAATATTGCTGCTGCTGAAACTTGGGCTTTGTACTGTAACCAGAGTTTATTAATTGTTCTATTTCATTGAGGAAAAAATGCAAAGCAGACAGAACACTGGAGTAACTAGCTGGAAGTATTCCACGACTTTATGGGAAGCAGCTTTCCAAATGATTCGTGTGGAGCCAAACTCTTGGTCTCGCCAAAATAGCACTATCGTGTGCCTTGATAGTACATTAAAGAAGAAATTTTCCCCCAATTTACTTGTTAAGATTTACAGCCTTTCTGCCTCCTGAAAACATAGCATTGATTTCTTTAATATCAAAAAATAATTTCCTAAAATAGATTGCTAACGACTGCTTTCAGTTATTTATTTAAGGAGAATTGTGCCAAGTACTGCTTGTATGGTTTCCTGTAAAAGACTGAATTAATTTCATAATTTTCATAACTAATGTTATTCCTATTCTGTAGGAATATGCTTCTAATGTGACTGGTCATTACCACATCTTATTTTGAGATCTCTCAAAACATTTTCACTTTATAAATAAGATATTAAAACATTGATCATATGAAAGAGCAGAAAAATATCCCTTATTAGGAGACTTTACTAAACACCAGAGAAATTAAAAGTTGTAGCTTAAATCGACCCCATCCAATATTTGGTAGAGGAAATAGAACTATACAAGGAGTCTGGTTTTTAAAGTTCCACCAGCCCATTATGGTCATTGTGGAATATTTGAATGCCCCCCAGAAAAGGAAGACAAAGAAGACTACATGATCATTATTACCAGTTTAAATAGTTCATCCCACTCTTTTTATGTTTTTAATTTATGGATCATATTCGAATCAATTTTTTCACTCAATATTGACATTTTTCATGTTATCATAAACATAGTTTTTAATGGCTACCTATTAATGTATCAGGTATACCTATTATAATATACTTAACCACTTTACCATTATTGAATATTTAGGTGGTTTGTGGTGGGTTTTTTTTTTTTTCCAGTGTAAATTATGCACGATAATCTTTGCATATAATGTTTTGTGATTTTAGTCGTATTTCCTAAGATGCAAGCTTCTAGGGGTAAAGTGTTATAAATATTTTTTTTAATTTTATTTAATTATTTATTTGAGAGAGAGAGAGGGAATGAGTGAGCTGGGGGAGGGGCAGGGAGAAGGACAAGCAGATTCCATGCTGAGTGGCAGCTTGGAGCCTGGCAAGGGGCTTGATCTCACAACCCTGAGATCATGATCTGAGCCAAAATCAAGAGTCGGCCGCCTAATCGAGAGAGCCATCCAAGCGCCCCCAAATGTTAAAAATATTTTAAAGGCTCATTGTTCAAACTGTATTCCGAACGTCATACCAATTTACACTATTACTAGCATCTTAACTGCCCAAATGATAAAAACAGAACTTTAAAAATATTTCACTAGGGTTGTTTGGGTTTATATGTTGAGATGGTCCAGAAAACCATTAAAAATTAAAAGAGAATATGTAGAGATAAAGCATTTGGCTGACTGTGTACATATTTTAGTAAAGCCTCAATGTTAAGCCAGAAGCCATTATTCATACTCATGATGTCCTAGACATGGGAAAATGCTTCTAATTTTTGCAACATGAAAGAAGTATGATGACAGTGACAAAACTGAATGGCTAGCCAGACGTGCTGATTTGGAAGATAGAGTGCAGATTTGAACATTATACTCAGTCTCCATTTAAAAGTCTAAACGTTTTTCACTCTGAATTTGGGAGTTTGCTGTATTTAGAGATACTTTTATAAAATTAGAAAATAATAGCAAGTTTGAAATTGCTAAAATGTATGCCACTACTGTCAGAAGTTGCAAGTACATTTATCTTTATTAAGCTATTAGTTTGATTATATTTTCTGTGATAATAAAGGTTGTGTTGTAATTTAAAAGTTAATGTTTAATTTATTTAGGTAATTGAAATACCAGTTCTTTTTGGAATCCTTCAGTATTATGACTTTTGCTTATGGGAAATTTATTAGCTTTTCATGTTTACTAAATATAAATCTATACTTGTTTTCTGCTGTTCAAAAATGAAACAAACCTTAGTTAAATTTTTGGATCAGTATCATCTTAATAACTTGCTTATTGACAGAGAACCTCTACATAAGTCATTTTAAAAGCAAGTTATTCAGTATATTCCCATTTGTGACACTGAAAAGCCTCCTTGTTTTAAGTTCTTGGAAGAAAAGTTTTTTTTAAGAAAGAACAGATAGGGGCACCTGGGTGACTCAGTCGGTTAGGCGACTGCCTTCAGTTCAGGTCATGATCCCAGGGTCCTGGGATTGTGTCCCACATCGGGCTCCCTGCTCAGCAGAGAGTCTGCTTCTCCCTCTCCCTCTGCAGGCCACTCCCCCTGCTTGTGCTCTCTCTTTCTCTCTGGCAAATAAATAAACAAAATCTTAAAAAAAAAAACAAACCAGACAATTTTAACTATAATATTAAGGAGGGGTGCTAAAATTGAACAATGATGTTCCTTTAATCTCATGCTTTAGTGTCAGATCAGAGACCTTCTGGAGACTTGGTTCACATACATGTAATATTCAGCAAACTTACCTTCTCAGTGTCAAATTATATAGAAGCTAACATTTGGACAATTTTTCTGGTTTAATATATATACCAAGGCTTTGGAATGTCAAATTTAAGGAATTGTGCTCCTATATAATATTATCAATTATGTTTAGAAAATTAAGACAAACTAGTAAAGATTTATTGATTAAAATAATTATTAATTTTTGTGTTGACATTCACTTTAGAATATATATATTTGGAAAAAAGAATTTTGGCATTTCACAAAGGAGGAAAAAATTCCAGTTCTTCGTTTTGTAACTCTGCTTTTTAATTTTTATGTTCTAAAATATATCCAAAATCTACCCCTGTAAGATTATTGTAGGAGTCTTTCATTGTTAAAGTATAAAGGTTCCTACTTATAATCAAATTATATATCCCAAAATCAAAACTAAATTGTCTTTGTTCACTGTGTTTAGCAGTATATAAATACACTTAAAAAAATACCTGTGTCATCCAACTCTGAAATAGATTAAAGTTAATAATTTAAATTTTGCAATTAAAAATGTTAAAATTTTTGTTCTTAATTAGTATTTTAGTAATTTTATATTTTCAACATTTCAGTTTTTTTTCCAACTTTGTAGGTATAACATGTAAAGGCCATAAACACTTTTTAAATGCTTAACTTTACAAACCTGGTGGTCTTTGTATACAAAAGTACAGAGGAGCTTTTTGTTAAGTTAGTGACAATTTAAAGAAAACCCGTGTATTTCTTGAGAGAATATATTAAGACTTGCTTTAAAAAATGATGACCATATCTTGGACTCAATAGGAAAAGTGTGTTGCTGTACCAAGCCTTAGCATCTGCTAGTCTGCTGCTTTTTAGTGTAAGTACTGTAAGGTTACATACTTTTCAGACTATAGGATTACATAAATGTTTTTACTTCTCATTTTTACCGGTGGTGTCATTAGTTAGAACATGAAGCTATACAGGCTAAGGACAAATTGGGTTCTTTTATGAGCCATTTAATTTTCATCTTTTCTGTGCCTGCATTTCTTAAATATCTGGAATGAAAATGTAATGCCATACTCATGATGAAAAAAGAAAGTGTATGCCCTACTAATTATGAGGTAAGGAAAAATGAATGTCTCTGAAAGTATGATACAGCTTTCATACTTTATCTAACTTTATATATGCAGTTTTCAGAGACTATTGCCGGTGAAAGCTTGCTTTTGGATAGTGCAGTGTGCAAGTACTGTTGAGGGAGAAGTGGGGTTGTTCTTGAGTGATCAGTGCATTTGAACTACTGCAGCCTGGGTGGTAAGTAGATAACCTTGCAATTTGCTAAGCTCTACTTATTCTATTACTCTATCCTTACAGACCGTAAGTCTCCAAAAGTTTCCCCCAGCAGTGGTTACTTCTGCTCTAAATTTAATGTAACCATCCAATAGCTATAAGATAGTAGTGGAATAGCTTTCTTACCTTTAGGACTTGGCACCCAAATAGTTTTGTGTAAAAGTAAGAATTATAATCTCTCTCAACAGCTGTGACATCTTATGAAGATCTTGGACTCTTTGCATTTGGATTACCTGGAAAGGTAAAAATTTTTTTTTTCTCCTTACTGTCTCCAAAATCCAGAGACATTTTTTTTTCCTTCCATTTCTAGTTAAAAGAGACAGGTATATCTAAGAGAAGGAAATTAGGGGACTAAAAGGAAACTAAAGTGAAGAAAGACAGAATGATGGGAACAGGAAGGCAAAGAGAAGAAATCTATATGCCCTTCTGGAAAATGCATCAGTAAATTTAATTCGACACTTAAATCTATTAGTATTTTTCACCCTAATGAAGGAGAGCAAGGACTTGAACAATTTTAAAGTTGTAACAATGGCCTGTTTTAAGTTTTTTTTTAATTAATTTTGATTATAGGGGTGCCTGGGTGGCTCATTCATTAAGTGTCTGCCTTCAGCTCAGGTCACGATCCCAGGGTCCTGGGATCGAGCCCCATGTCAGGCTCCCTGCTCCACAGGAAGCCTGCTTCTCCCTCTCCCACTCCCCCTGCTTGTGTTCCCTCTCTCGCTGTGTCTCTCTCTGTCAAATAAATAAATAAAATCTTTTTTAAAAAGTTGATTATATTAACTGAGTAAATCCTCATAAAGATAGGAAAAGAAAGAAGCATAGAGTTAAGATTTTAGCATGACTGTTTACAAACCTGGTAATTAGAAGATTATATCACTTAAGAGTTGAACAGTGCTAAAAGATGATCAAGCTATTCCCTCATTTATAGGTGAGGAAATTAAGGCCCAGAGAAATGAAGAGGCCTATATGTCCACAGTTACTTAAAGCCAGTATTACATTGTAGAACTTCCAACTCTAAATCAACTGCTTTTCCTCCTCAGAATAATAGAAATGACAGCAATATTTATTGGGATTCGTTTGTGATAGGCATATTAAACTAAACTGAGAGGTAGAGGAAACCATGTCTTCCTCCACAGTTAATCAGGAGTTAAATATTTTTGTGAGTACTGTTGTACTTTATTTCTGAAGATCTATCATACTTTTAAAACCCATTTTCATGTTGGTTTCAAATAGGACTTTCTCTTTCATTTGTAAATCTGTTGTTTGTGTTTTGTGTTTGTTTTTAATCTTAAAGATAGCCAAACCAACTTCTAAGAAGTGAGTCTGGGAGGAAAAAGATATAGCTGCATGATAGGGGAAAACCTATATTTACATTCAAATTAACTTTGTTTTTAAAGTATAAAAAGAATATTTAAATCATGCTGTGTAGCCTCATGGTTTTAACCTTGTCTTAATAACCTGAAACTTGAACAAAATGGAGAATATGTTACTCGCAGGTAAAGGGTTTTGTTAATCATCCTGATAACAGTTTCTCTTTCCTGCGGACAGGGATGTTTCGTATAATCATGATCAGTTTCCTATATCCAGTTTAACCAAGGAAGAAGAAAATGTTCTTTATACGTATAAGAAAACTCTCAAATTAATTCCATATGATTTATAAATAGGACTCTAAGCATCATCACTGTTATTTCACACTAGTATTTCCTGCATTCCTTGAAAAGCAGCAGAATCTAAAAGAATTGGATTTCCCTTTCCCTTTCTAAAATTCTAGAATAGTTGCATTATCATTAATGTAGGCACTCAGTTCTTAGGAGGCAGGTACACAGACAGAGGATACTTTAAATGAGGAGTTGCTGTTTGTTTGCCTTTTTTATACTTCCTCTCCACTTCCACAATTGGGTTGATACTTTCCTATTTCCAGGGCACCTGGGTGGCTCAGTCGGTTAGGTGTCTGCCTTCGGCTCAGGTCATGATCCCAGGGTTCGGGGATCAAGCCCCTGCACTGGGCTCCCTGCTCAGCGGGGAGCCTGCTTCTCCCTCTCCCTCTGCTGCTCTCCCTGCTTGTTCTCTCTCTCTCTGTGTCAAATAAATAAAATATTTAAAAAAAAGAAACTTTCCTATTTCCTTCTTGCCAGATACGATGCAGATATGGATAGGACATAATAAGATAACATTGTTCTGAGAATTAAAGAAATATTTTTAAATTCGTTGAACTCTTTAAGAAAGATTTTTAAAATTGTCTATAATTTATCTACTCACCAAACAAATATTTATTGAGTAAATACTATGTGCCATTCATTATAGTAGGCACTGGAGGCGTAGATAGGTAGGTAAACATACTGACTTTGTAGATCTTAAGTGCTTAAATTCAGCACTTAAGGTGGAAAGATAATCATGAATAAGTTGATCTTACTGTTTTTTGCAATATATTAGTAGAAATCAAAATTTCATCTATGATAGCAGTAGCTATCAATTGTATATAAAAGTGTGCAAAAGTTCAAAATAGTCTTCACAAATAACCATGACATTTGTAACTAATTTTTAAAAGAGTTGACATGCAAAGTTTCTTCTGGAAAAGTTAGAGTGGCAACTACTCCATCATTAGCCCTACTCTGCATACCCCAAGGCCTCTAGTGTTTCCAGGATAGGCAAATGATATGCCACTGATGGAATTCCTAGTAGAGGGGAGTCTGAGAGGTTATCTGTTCCCAGTCCATGAACTGAATGATCCTAGATAACTAGGCCACTCCAAATATCCACTGGCAGTGCAGATCCATCAAGACTTATGTGATTGAAAGGCCCCAGTGGAAGTAGAATATCTAGTCATTTCCTTTGAGTACATCTGATTACCAAGAATGGATAAGGTGTCTTGAGTTTCCCAGGAAGCTCATCCGAATCACAAACCAGCAAACCTACAAGCTGAACTTAGTCCTTAGGCATATTTGGTTTGGCCTACATTTTCTTATTTTTAACTGATTGCCAACTAAGAGTTATGAAATTTTGAAAGAATTCAGTTTCTGACTTTCCTTGAAAAATTAATGAAATGTAGAAGATAGAGCTACATTGGATCCACATTCTCACATGCCAGCAGCTGGCCGGAGCTGAGCGGCAGGTGCCCCATTTTGAAAGGGGAGGAGTTCTCCAATAGACTACAGTCTTTACAACCTTCTTCTTTCTTACACTAAGCCCACTCCATATTCTTGAGTTTGAAATAGTTTGCTTAAAATTTCAGATCTGAGAATATGTGGGCTCTAGAGTTTTCTGCTCTAGACTTTACTAATTCCTGGGACAGGATGTTCAAAAGCTTGTTTTTTGCCATGCTAACACACTCAGGAGACTGTAATTTCCTTCTGTGCAAAACAGCATCCTCACAGCACACCTCAAGCTGTAGCAGTCGACCTACTAAAGCAATGCCCCATTCTACCTCCTAAAGTGGTAAAAAAGGGAGAATGAGACCAGATAGATTTAATTGCAATTTTTTGCTACTTTGATAATCACCAATTACTAGTTTTTAACACTTTTAACTGTTTAAAATGACTGCCAAGAAAATTTTCAAAAGCATTCTTTATAGTAACTATGGAACTATTAAAAAAGGGCTTTTTATGTGATGATCATTAGTTTTATGTATTACAAATGGCTGACAATGTATTCTTTTCAATTTCTCTTCACTTCTGCATCTGTTTTTTAGTAATGGTTATTGGATTTTAGTAAAGTACTGATCCTTTTATTTCTTCTTTCATCTTGTGAATACATTTGTTCTTTTATAGGTGGCAGTAGCAGGCACCATCCTAATTCAGAATATTGGAGGTAAGAAACTGAAAGTGCACTGCTTATGCATAAATGTGATGGCAGTGATTTCTTCCTTTTGTTTATTGCCTTACTAGAGATCTAGCTGGGAACTGCACACATAGGTATCTTCAGAAACCTTCAGCGTTGTCCTCATTACTCCTTTTTTTTTAAGATCCTTTTTATTAGCAGTCCTTGTAAGACAGTAGCTTCTAAATTTAGTTTCAGGGAAATCCTTGATTTCAATCTTGTTATTAGGTCTGCAATACACCTCTAGAGCACTGGCTTTCTCTACTTGTGATAGTGGTAAGGTACAGTCTGGAAAAACTCTCCAGGTGATTCTAAAATATTTCCCCTCTCCTTTTGTCCTAATTATGGCATTGGCATATACTGCTTCAGAGGGAGTGATGTTTCCTGGGCTGTGAACAATCTGGTATAGATAAGCAGTGTCCTCTTATAACCAAGAGATTTAAAATGACAAGGTAGTTTAAAAAATAAACGAACCTGGGGCGCCTGGGTGGCTCAGTTGGTTAAGTGTCTGACTTCAGATTTTAGCTCAGGTCATGATCTCAGGGTCATGAGATTGAGCCCTGCATTGGTCTGTGTGCTGGGTGTGGAGTCTGCTTAAGATTCTCCCCCTCCCTCTGCACCCCTACCCTCTCTAAAAAATCAATCAATCAATCAACCAACCAACCAACCAACCAACCAACCAACCAACCTGAAAGAGGTAAGAACCGTTCTCACATTTATCTTGTATCTTGTTTTCATTAAAAAAGATCCCAATATCTAGAACCATGTAGAAACAAAAATTACTGTTAATTATAGACAGTTACTAACTAAATGTATTAAACATTTAAATCCAAAATATGGGAGTCATGTTTGTATACGTTGTAAAGAAGTTATATAGTGCTGGGGCGCCTGGGTGGCTCAGTCGTTAAGCGTCTGCCTTCAGCTCAGGTCATGATCCAAGGGTCCTGGGATCGAGCCCCGCAGCATCGGGCTCCCTGCTCCACGGGAAGCCTGCTTCTCCCTCTCCCACTCCCCCTGTTTGTGTTCCTTCTCTTGCTTTGTCTCTCTCTGTCAAATAAATAAATAAAATCTTAAAAAAAAAAGAGTATATAGTGCTGAACAAGGTCTTAATTTTCTTTTACCATTTACTGGAGGACTAAATAAATGCTCTTAGGTTAAAGGAAAACACGCAGGGAAGGTTGACATGCATTTTGGACCTTACACAAGGTTGTATGGTCAGAGGAAATTTTAATCTTACTTCTTATGTGTAACAGTTCAAAATAATTTAAAGATGACAGCTTTAATAAAGTTCAATTCTGATACTCAAGAGATCTCAGCTATTTTATTTTATTTTATTTATTTATTTTTTAAAGATTTTATTTATTTATTCATGAGAGAGAGAGAGAGAGAGAGGCAGAGGGAGAAGCAGGCCCCCAAGGAGCAGGGAGCCCGATGCGGGACTC